ATCATGTAAATAATGCCCAAAGTGAACTTTCTATCCTCAGTTCTGCGGGACCCACATCTGAGTACAAGATTTCCTCCTGAAACACTCTCTCACACATACCTCCAGTGGTGGGTTGCAGGCGGTATGCCCTATAAGGCGTACCAGAGCCTGCCCGGTGCTCGGGAGGGCCCGCCTGCCTGCCCGAGCTCCTTACCTGTCCTTTAAAGTCTTTGGCACTTCCGCACACGGCACATACAGCACCTGTGCGACACTCCACCAAGCAGCTGGAGCGTCACGGATGCTTGCAGAAGCATCACTAGCAGCTACAATGCATGTGCATACGTGCACTGTGCGCACCCACGTGGGCTACACCAGGTGCGTTCCAACCGTACCGGTTGGAACAGGATCTGGAACCCACACTGCATACCTCCCTAACAGCATGAACTTGTATAACATTCCATAGATTTGGCCATTGACAAGTCTACATAGCTGTAACTGTTAGTTGTAAAAAAAACCTTGTGATTTGCAAGCCCAAGATGTTCCGATTTCATTTGTTGCTTATAAACATACAAAAGTTAACAATTTGTTACTTCCTATGTTCCTATTTATTAACAAATTACAAAATTTGCAGTATTTCTGAAGGACCATGATTTGTGGTAGCAATATACAATCATTATTTGTGTATTATATCTCCATGCAAACATATTTCCAACTTACACTCCAATTTGAAATTCAAACACTTTATAAATCAAAAAGGTTTATATGTTCCACTATACACATTACTTTCTAATAAAAAAATAAGTCATGTAATTTTACTTTCAGAAAACATCAGAAAGGTAGTCAGCTTTTAACACGAGTTACAGAATAGTTTAATACATGAACTATCAAGACCATTTCAAATATCAAAAATGTTTACATTAAAAAAAAACCAAACTCACGGATTTTGAAAATATGCTTCGTGAACATGAATAGAGTTATAAAAGTTTATACATAGACACAAATTGGGCAACATTATTCAACAACACATGGATATAATTTACACATTTTTCACTTAGAACAGCAGCACTATCTGCTACTTTTTCCCAGTATAAAATAGCATGATCTGCCATCTCTGTTGGGTCTGTGAGATAACCTGTGCCAAACGCAGAAACAAGTGTTTTCCAATACTGAAAAGTTTTGTCCCAAAAATCTGGAACACATACTTGAATAACAACCATCAGCAAACAAATTAAAGCAGGTACAAAAAAACGTGGTGAAAGGAAGGAATTTGTCACCCAATTGAAAGAGCTTTTCTCTTGAGGTAGTGAAAGTTTATCCACATCTGCTAGCTTAAATTGTTCCCACTGATTAGTATCAACATCCTTAATTGTAGATTTGATGTCTATAGTAATACAAGGCAATGTAGTTTCCTTTATCACTTTGATTTTCTCTCTAAATTCTTGCATCTGTTGTAAAAACACAATGGGTTCAGATACATCCTTAAATGTTTCTGCAATATTAAACGCAGTTTGCTGTTCTTGTATGATAGTGTTCAGTTTGTTGATTTCTGGATCATAAGCCTGCATAACTGCAAGCTTCATGGTTTCAAAGTCTGAGAGAATCTCATTCTTCTTTTGTTCCAAGGTATACTGTAATTTCTCAAAAAAATCTTTTACTCTGTCATAATCCTTTGTTAACATCTGGAGAGCTTTTCGTTTGCTGGTTTCCAACGTTCCTAGTCGAGAAAGTGCATCTCCACAATGCCATGCTTCAAACACCTGGGACAGTGTTTCAAAAGCACGCTTTTCTTGACAGTAAGCATCCTCAATAGAGCAAAAGATATGTTTTATGTGATCTCCTCGAGTGGCACAAATGCCACATATAAGTTGTGTGTCTGTCTGGCAAAAAATATTAAGAGGCTGACCACTGTGCACTTTACAGACAGGCATTTTTGTTGATATTTTAATCTTGTTATATTTTTCCACGATGCCTTTTAGTGAATAGTTAACTTGGAGATTGTTAACTCCTGTTACTGTAGTTTCCTTTCGACACGTGGGACATTTAAAAGGTGATAGTCTCCAAATCACATTCCGAGTATTTCCCTCTAAGATCCCTTCCAAACATTTTCTACAGAAGTTATGTGAACAAGGTAATGCTCGTGGATCATCAAACAGGCAACAACAAATGGGACATGTAAGGTCTTCTTCAAGGAGTTCCATTCTTCTCTATAACAAGGATAAAAATATAAGCAACTAATACTCATAATCACCGTCTTAAGAAACTGAAATTTCTTGCATGCATTTCTACATAAAACTACTTTGCAAAAGAACATACAGAGTTTGGTGAATTTATTTTTTACCAGATCAATAAAATGGCAAGAATTTCAACATTGCAAATGAATAAGGAAAAGTAGAAAAGTTATTGTGACTAACCTATCTTCAAATAAAAGAAAAAAAATGGATCAGTAACATAAGTAACAGTCCATAAGGCCTGATACCATTGGTGCTGAAATGTATATCAGTTGTAGGAGTGGAATGATGTAGGTACATGTAACACCAGAAGGGATTGTCAAGGGCTCTGCAGGAACAACATAGTCTGAACAATAATTCCTTGCTGTGAACTCTGCTCTGATGGTTTTATAGATATGTCCATGTAATTATCTTGTGAAGAATATGAAAGTGTTTTGCTATTATCAGATTCTTAGGTTTTTCTCTAAATTCTTTGTCTAGAAAAACAATGTATCGCTTAAGAAAATTCCAGTTGCTCCTGCCAGTGGTATGGTAATATGGTAATTCAGAGCAGTAGGCTAATGCTATTCGCTCAAGATATAAGACTTTCTCAAGCACTATCCCCATGCCATGATACAAACGTTAACTAATTTGAGTGGTTCTCAAATTTTTGGTTTAGGAACCCTTTTACATTCTTAGAAATGACTCCAAAGAGCTTTGATTTATGTGGGTTACATCTATTGATCTTTACTATATTATAAATTAAAACTGAGAAAGTTTAAACTATTTATTTGACTTTGCAGATCCTTGGAATGGATCTTGGGGACCCCCTAGGGTCCCCACACCACTTTAGTAACTACTGACCTATAGTTTTCTTACATTTTTTTCCTATTTGCATTCCCACAACCCCTTCTTTCTTAAAATAAAGCAGGTAAGGAAGAGGCCTTCACTCCTTCTAGAGCAATGTTCAGCCACTTTTAATAAAAAGCTATATATTCATAACATTTGTTTAACCCTTCTTGGTTAATTGGCCTCATTCTCTGATTCTACACAATATACTGAAACAAAAACTAACCAAAGGCTGGTTCACACAATTAACAAGGCTAATATATGGGCAGTTAAGGCATCGGATTACAAACTAGGAGCTTTGAGCTCTAGTCGCCTTAGACTGAAAGACGGGTGACTTTTGGGTAAGTAGCAATAGCAATAGCAGTTAGACTTATATACCGCTTCATAGGGCTTTCAGCCCTCTCTAAGCGGTTTACAGAGTCAGCATATTGCCC